CTGCATTAAGCAACTGTTGGCTCAGCTCTTTCCAGCAGGGTCCACAAATTTCACACCAGGGAGATGCACAGCTAATGCCTCTGTCTTTCTCTGAGTCCGCCCAGGACTGACTGGGTGGCACCATTTCAGTTCAGTAGACATCTGAGCAGCAGTATATTTATGAGCTTTCAAGGAAATGTAGCTGTTAGCCACGGTGACTTTAAATAATTTCTTTTTAAGTTCTCTAGCTTTTGAGATTTTTGCAGGACATAAAACACAATTAAACAACCTCAAAACAACCTTCTAGTGCCATCACCTAAAATAACTTCAGGACTGAAATTGGCCCCGTTGCCTGTTTGACCACACATTTGACTCAGAATCACTCTTGAATTTGTTCTGCTCTCCCCATCCTGCCTCACTTGGCACAGTGAAGCTTTGGAAGAGTTCAGTCCACGTTCCAGCCTGGTAGCGGGATTTTCTTTCCTCTGCTTCCCTTGGTCAAGGACAGAGGAGGTAGCACTCCATCACGGGCACTGGTGCCCAGATAACCACTCATCCAGAAATACCTCTTCGTCTGGCCTGAATTAATGTCTACCATTAATTCCCATTCTGATAGTCTTGGGGAACACTTTCTCTAGAAGTGTCAGGAAAACCCAAATGTTTTCTGGTGAAGTGTATTAGCTCATTAACAATAGTGACCAAAATAATCAGCATTTATGGAACACTTATTGCGTGCCCAGCACTTTGCTGATCTCTTTTCTTGCAACGTTTCATACAATCCCTGCTTTCTGGGGGACAACTTTTTGAGTCAGTTACTGTTACTATCCACAGTTCACAGATAAGGAAACTGAGGAATATGGAGGTTAAATCACTTGCCCCAGGTACACAGATAGGTAGGATTAGAGTCAAAGTCAGGATTTGAACTCAAGACTATCTTGATCCAAAACTCTTGTTTTTTACCACTACACAGTTACACAACAAAGTCCAAGACTCTGGGAATTTGGGACATCTGAGATGGTGGGAGGCAGGAAGAAAGAAAACAGGTGGTGGTCTTTTTTAGAAAAAGCACTCAGGACTCTGATACGATACAAAAATAGGATGTAGAGATAGTTGAACATAAACGAATACACTCAGGATTTACAGAACAACTATTTTGTGCCCAGAGTTACACTGGATGCTAGGAGAGGAAGCGGTGCAGCCAAGTCAACCACCACCCGAGAAGCTTTATGTGCCCCACCTTGCTGACTCTGGGCTAACAGCGGGAAGTATAGAAGGGGCTTCCAGGCTAAAGCAGCAGTCACCCCCATGGCAATGTCTGCTTGTTCACTGGTTTTAGCTGACAGCATTTCCCTGTTGCCTACTAGAGTCATATCCCTGTCATTGCTGGCTGGGACTGATACTGCCTTTTCTACTCAACTAATGACAATCACAACAACGGCAATAACTCCCATTTCCTGAGCACCTCCTGGGTGACAGGGCTCACTTTAAGCTGTTTATATATGTTATCTCATTGAATTCTCCCAATAGCTCAGGAAGGTAGGTACTGTTATTATCCTCATTATACAGATCCGGAACTGAGGCACAGAAATCTTTGGTAACTTACAGAGCTCTGTATCTTCCTTTGGTCCATCAGGATCTGTGTCTCAAACCATTTCCAGCATTATTTTCTTCCCCTAGGACAGTAAGTATGAAGACATGGGCGGTTCAGTGGTAGCGTTCTCTTTTCCATGCATGAGACCCAGGATAGATTCCTGGCCAATACACTTCAAGTGCAACCACCACCCATCTGTCAGTGGAGGCCTGTGTGTTGCTAATGCTGGACAGGTTTCAGTGGAGCTTCCAGACTAAGACATACTAGGGAAAAAGGCCTGGTGATATACTTTGAAAGATCAGCCACTGGAAACGCTATGGATCACAATGGTCTAATCTGCAGTCAATCATGGGGATGATGCAGGACTGGGCAGCTTTTTGTTCTGTTGTGCATGGGGTTGCCATGAATTGGAGCCAACTCGACGACAGCTAGCAACAACAGCAGCAACAGGACAGTGAGTGAATTTTAATGAATTACTGATACTGTAAAGTCAAGGATATCATATAGGGACTAGCAATGAGTAAATAGGAGTCACTTTTGGAAAAGCTCTAGTAGCCTCAATAACAGCAATATGGATGCTTTCCTTTCTGGAAGAATCTAATCACCCTACTTGGGTCAAGACCACAGTCTTCTGGGGGATCTGCAATGACCCTTGTGTACCAGCAGCACCTTCAACCCCCTGTCTGCAGCCCCTGAGGTCACAGGAGACCCAAAGATACCGATTGTGTTTCTGTGTGACTGTTGCAGGAACACCAAGATAGAAGAAACTGAGAAGACAAAGCAGGACCCCAAAGTCACAGGGAACAACTGTCTCCTGCAGAATGGCTGCAGGGGCTTAGAAACCAAGGACAGCTTCCGACTCGAGCAGCAGGGGTTTTGCCAGTGACCCAGTGGACTTGGAGCAGCTGGGGCTAACTGAATGTTGTCATGATGGCCTGTCCCTGATGGACGGGAAGTACTTTGCCCAAAGTGAGCACTTAGCGTCAACCAAGAGAATCGATGGGAGAGAGGGAGCTGGAGATGCCAGAGGATTCATAAATATTTTATAGTGTCGAATCAAATGGAAAAGGCAAAGCTATTTCTTTTTCAAATGGAAGTGGTGGAGACTTCATTCCATTCAAGATTAATAGGTGCACTGCCCAGTAATCAGAGCTTGGAGACAAAGAAAGGACGGATGAGAGTGTGAAGTACAAAAGGAAGTGAGGACGTTCAGGGCTGCAGAGGGGTAGCTGGGGAGGCACACCACAGGCCGGGGAGGCAGGCTGACACGTGGATGTGTCTTCCTTCATATTTACTGGAAAATGTAAAAACTGCATCATTATTTTCAAAGAACTGGGAAAATTCAGGTAATATTTAAAAAATTTATTACTTCTATAATCATAGCGACCCCATATGTTGCAGAGTAGAACTTCTCCATAGGGTTTTCTTGGCTGTAATCTTTACAGGAGCCATGGTGGCACAGTGGTTAACTGCTCGGCTGCTAACTGAAAGGTCGGCAGTTAAAGGTCAGCTGTATGGATTATAGCCTTGGAAACTCTATGGGGGCAGTTCTACTCTGTCCTATAGGGTCACTATGAGTCAAAATTGACTTGGTGACAGTGGGTTTTAATCTTTACAGAAGCAGTTCACCAGGCCTTTCTTCTGTGGAGGCACCGAATTGGTTCAACTGCCAACTTTTCAGTTAGCAGCTTATGGCAAACTGCTTGAGCCAGCTGGGGCTGACTCTACCACAGCTAACAACAACAACGCTTACACAGTACACATAAGAATGCTCAAATAGTATATGTGTCATCAAAAGTTTGGCTTAAACTACGACATCAGAGCACAGTGTACAATCCTATGGGTAAAGGAACTGTCAGGGGTGGCCTCATTCTTCTTCCTGCCCTCAGCCAGGGCTGGTCCCGCTTTGAATCATTCCAGAGTGCTGAGCATCTAGGCTATTTGCAGAGATTGACAGGGACAAATCTCTCACTTCTTCCTTTGGGAATTTCCTTTAATGTTTAATAGCCTCTGGAGGTAAATGAAAGGTGATTTTCCAAGCCATTCCCTTTGCTTGACCTATATCCAAAAACAGCCTCCCTGCCTCCATTTCCTGCTCAAGTCTATGAAAGGAGAATGTGACAGTGTTTCCTTTAGCCAATGCCCTGTTTGTCTTGCTGAGATCTGAGACATTCTTAGGAAGTCAGTCCAGAATTTGTGGCCAGGGCAGGAGGTGGGTCAGCCAGTTTTTTTTGAAGGGCAGGAGAGTTGGGTGTAGCCTGACCATTCTGGAGTTTTCCCTGGGCATAAGGAACAATTCCAGCAAATACTGCCATTCTGTTTGCCCTTAACCACTTGCCATGAAGTCGATTTTAACTCATAGTGACCCTATGTGTGTCAGAGTAGAACTGTGCTCCATAGGGTTTTCAATTGCTGATTTTTGGGAAGTAGATCACCAGGTCTTTCTTCCAAGGTATCTCTGGGTACATTCGAACTGCCAACCTTTCAATTAGCAGCTTAGTGCATTAGCCGTTTGCACTGTCCAGGGACTTTACTCATCCTTGTGGTTGTTGGTTGCTGTCCAGTTAGCCCTGAGTCATGGTGACCCCATGTATAACAAAACAAAATGCTGCCCAGTCAGGCGCCATCCCCAAGATTGATTGGGGGTTGGACTATTGTTATTCATAGGGTTTTCACTAGCTGATTTTTGGAAGCAGATCACTAGGCCTTTCTTCTTCATCTTTCTTAGCCTGACAGCTCCGCTGAAACCTGTTCAGCAAGTCTCCATTGACAGATAGGTGGTGTCTGCACATAAGGTGTATTGACTGGGAATCGAACCCAGGTCTCCCACATGGAAAGTGAGAATTCAATCACTGTCTTAGTTACCTAGTGCTGCTATAATAGAAATACCGCAAGTGGACGGCTTTAACAAACGGAAATTTATTTTCTCACAATGTAGGAGGCTAGAAGTCTGAATTCAGGGTGCCGGCTCTAGTGGAAGGCTTTTTTTCTCTGTTGGCTCTGGAGGAATATCTTTGTCTCTTTGAACTTCTGCTCGTGGACAAATCTTCATGTGGCTTGGCATCTCCCTCTCCTGCTCTCTGCTTCTTAGCTTCCATATTCAGTCTCTTTTATATTTCCAAAGAGATTGACTCAAGATACACCCTACGCTAATCCTGCCTCTTTAACGTAACAATGACAAGCCATTCCCAAATGGGCTTATACCCACAGTCACAGAGGTTAGGATTTACAACACATATTTTTGGGGGACACAATTCAATCAACAACAACTGCTGAACCCCCAACGCCTCTCTTACTCACCCTTATTTCCCATTAACTAATCCACAAATCTCTATCAGTCCCATCCCATGTGTACAGTGCTATCCTACGCCATAAGAAGAATAGAAGGTAAGCTGATGTTTTCACCCTGACAGAGACAGACAGACTGTCAGCGTTTGTCTCTTGCGTTCACAGTTTTAACTTAGACCCAGATCTCTGCAATGGTAGGAGTGTGTATGACAAAATAAGCACAGGTCATACCTGTCTTCGTGGGACCTGGGCCATCTGGGGACTGCCTTTCACAGGTCCAGAAATGAGGTGCATCAATCAGGTGACCCTTGACCTCAGAGAGAGCGTAACCTAGTCTGGGAGTCACAAACCACAGAAAAAAACAATTAGCAAGCAAAGCATGACAAAATGTTTCTTTGCAAGGTCCCTCTTAACCACAATGTCCACCTCTGCTAAGTTTGGCTGACAGTCTTGCCTTTGGTAACCATCCTTAGCCAGGGGCACAAGGGCTTTCTCTTTTTCATTCATTTCTGCATCTACCCCATCTCCTGCTTGGCCACAGGAGAGCTGGGGCCACTGGGAAATGCTGTTTGTGACCTGGAGGCTGAGGTGCAGCAGCAGTGGCAGCAGGGGATGTGGGCAGCATCCTGTGATGCCAGAGGCTTTG